ATATAAGCAACACTGGTGCAAGTAAAAGTAAAATGCAAAATGAAAAAAAAAATGGGCAGAAATATTTGCGGACCTGAAGTGTGCCAGGGCTCTGGATAGATGGCGCCACAGAGTTTGTCGTCGACCAAAAAAAGTGTGAATAGAGCGCGATGAAACACCTTGCAACCGAGGTGTGATAGGGGACGACAAGGCTGGGGCATACCTGTGCTGCCGCTGGTGTGTGTGGATGGCCCAAGGTGGGTCAATGTTTTGTAATGAGCCATCTTCAGACTCTCGCTGCGAAGCGGCGTGAACAGGGGGGCTGGGGCTGGGGGCGCCAAAACTGGCGAAGGGGGACGTCGCTGGCGAACTTCGGCTGCTAGGTATTACGTCGCGGCGTCGCTCCCTACAACCAGCCAATGCAGTGCGGCCTCCGTTGCTATGCATCTCATTGCCTAGCCTCTCGAAATATGCACCCCACCGCCATCTGTTGGCGGTGGCAGGCCTGATTGTAGGTTCTTGAATTAATTCGGTGAGGGCAAGCTGAATCGCTCCCAGTTCTCCCCCTTCACTGGGAGTTGTCTTGTGAGTGTCAGTGCCATACGGGGTAGTGTGACCATGGATATTGCCACTAGCTCATTGTGGAGGGTGGTGAAAGCTGAGTCGGTATATGTCGCCAGCTTTTCATCCGTATTTTCCCACAGTAGAACTCTGGCGACGTGATTTCTCGCTTGAGTGGCCTGTCGATCTGGATTGCCTATGTTCGCATTTTTCGAGATGGGCTTGGCATCTACCATGTTTACATGCACTACCCACGGTGGCTCGTCACAGAGCAGTACTAATTTCCCCCTCTATATGGAGAATCGAGATTATATAATATATATATATATAGAGGTGCACATCTTAGGTTATATATATGTTATCAGGACGTACATGTTTCAAATGCCAAAGGCGTCACTTTTTCCCCCAAGAGCCAAATCTTGTAAGAACTATGTGCAGCGTAAACAGTGCGCAAATCTTTCTTTTTTCTTGAGGTGAAAACCGGTATAGTTGGAGTAACTCAAAAGTGACCTCCTGCAATTCTTTTTTTTTTTTTTTTTTTTTAAATTGTTTTTGTTGCATTTTTTGGGATGGGGGTGCCAAGGAAAAATTATGTTTTACAGAGCTTGACGAGCTCTTGGCACCCCTGCAAAACAAGCAGACAACTACAAAAGTCGGAAGTAATAGATAACAAAATATGATAACACACAATAGTTACACACTCTTACCATAGCAAAAATTACTATGTGCACATTTGTAAAATGTTTGATATATTGTTTTTGGGTACACTAGTAATATTGATTCCATTTGATACAATGCTATTTAATAATTCGGAAAGTAGGTGACCAAAATTAGTTTCGCAATTCAGGAGTACACCATAGGTGAAAATGACCGGTTTGGTGAAATAAAATATGGGATCGTAGGACAGCTATTTTTAAGAAAGTTTACTGTTTAATGCAGCTTGATATGTTAATATTAAACATTCAGAATAAATAATTGATATGTCGGGGAATACTTTTCGAAGAGGCGCAGTGATGGGGTTGTCCAAGAGACATTAGCAACTTCCCGAATAGCTTTTTCTTGTTGAACTCTCAGTGTGTTTAAATTAGTTAATCCTGTAGATCCCCAAACAAGATGTGTGGACCATAAGCGAGTTTAAAAAAGCGAATTTTCGACAGTTTATTACAAATATGATCTATGTGTTGTTTCTACGACATATTTTAGGAAAAAAAATACACCGAGAGTTTTGACCTTATCAGTGTACTGTATTGTTACCATAATTCAGAGTAGCTCATTTTATCTATGCTCTTGAGTGCAGTTGAAATATCACAGCCTGGCTTTTGTCAGCATTTACATGAAGAGAATTTCCAGTCCGGACTCCGAAGCTCCAAAGTCCTAAATTGGAGATGTCAAAATAATGACAAGAATACTTTGACGGGGGACGTCAAAATGTTTTTGAAAATAATTTTATGTCTTCAGGAACCGGCGTCACAGACGTCAAAATAATATTCAAATGATTTTTTTTTAGTGCATGTCAAAATTAAGGATGTTGCAAACCGTTGGAGGTTTGAGTTTGACCAAGCTCGACTCTTGAACTTCTTGGAAAAGTTTGACAAAGGTTTGATTTGGGTTTGACTGCTATGCGCATGCGCGACAGGCTGGCCGGTTGGCTTCGGATTGGATGGTGATGGCTAAGGGATAAATTAAGGGCAGCACTGATTGGTTATTTCAGTTAATGGAGTACAAAAAATGAAAGCCGTTTACAACTCCCTGTATCGCCGAATTAGAGCGCAGCTCTTGAGGAGGAGGAGGAAGAGGGGAAGGTATGGAGAGGGGGCTATGCCTTTTCTCTTCTGCTCGCCTCCCATTTAGGGGAAAATTTTCCTTTAATTTTAGAGGAGAAAATTTTTCCGCTAAATTTAGCAGGGAAAGTTTTCCGCTAGATTTAGCGGGGAAATCTGTCTGCTAAATTTAGCGGGGGAATTTTTCTGCTAGATTTAGCGGGGAAATTTTTCCACTAGGTTTAGCAGGAAAATTTTTCTGCTAGATTTAGCGGGGAAATTTTTCCGCTAGATTCAGCGGGAAAATTTTTCTGCTAGATTTAGCGGGAAAATTTTTCCGCTAGGTTTAGCAGGGAAGTTTTTTAGCTAGATTTAGCGGGGAAATTTGTCCGCTAAATTTAGCAAGGGAATTTTTCCGCTAAATTTAGCAGGGAAATTTTCCCGCTAGATTTAGCGGGGAAATCTTTCCCGCTAGATATAGCGGGGAAATTTTTCCACTAGATTTAGCCGGGAAATTTTCCCGCTAGATTAAGTGGGAAAAATTTTCCGCTAAATTTAGCGGGAAAATTTACCCATAATGCACTGCGCGGTTACGCCGACGCCACTCAAGCCGGAAACGGGCGCCTAAGAGGTGCACTCTAAAAAATAAGTTATTAACTTCTTCAGTGATTAGAATTGGTTTCTTTTCATTGCAACTGTTCATAAAATAAAATAACCCTTTGCATAAAAAAAATTCTCCAAACCTAGACATGCTTGTATCAATTGGTCTCGCCACACTGTTTACAAAGTCGAACCGGGTGAATCCACTGGGTGAGTCTAGTTTAAAGTTTGAAGGTTCGTTGAACTGGTTCGACCCAGTCAAACCCCGAAAGCCGAAAGTTCGACCTAAAAATCCGATTTGACAAAAGTTTGCGACACCTCTAGTCGAAATAGTCACTGCCTATTCTAAAACTCTCTGTTGTCATAGAGATGAATGACATTAAATGATCTTTAAGACAATAGACCACTTTCAAAAATCCCTCCATGCAGAATCTATCGTTCTACATGTGCCTACCTTTGCCCAAAATCCGGCACATCGAGAACCACAAAAACAATGCTAAGTGTTTTTTTTTCGATATCTCTCAGCGAACCCTACTGCATTGTAAACTTGTAGGAAATCGCAGCAATAAAAACGTAAGCAGCGTGTCCCGTCACGGCATCATGAGAAAATCTGAAACTGAAACCGAAACTAAGTGGCCAACTGGTACCCAGATTTCTTTTTGTGTCACCAGTGCCACCCATCATCCAGGACATCTCAACGAGCTTGATAGCGAGTTCGTTTCACGGCACTCGTACCCACGCGTGCCCACTCGCAGCGTGGAACGGGTTCGTTTCGGCCGGCACTCCACGAGTGGTTGCACTCTCCGAGTTCATTTCAGCGCTGGCACCCCACGCGTGCATGCACTCGCTGCACCGAGAAAATCGGGAGTGCGCCAAAATGCAATCCCGTCATGCCTCGCTCCGGCGGGGCCGGCGAGGAGCGGGAGCAGACGACGAGGGTTCGTCTGCTACGATGTGTCGCGGAACCGAACGGGAAAAAAAGTAGATTTTCTGATAAAAATCGGGTCCCGCGGGCCACGAAATCAAACGCGAGCTTGAATTGTGAGCGTCTGCTATTTCCCGAAGAAAGCAATTGACAACTTGTGATTTATTTGCAGGTTTTAAATCGCTCTGTTGCCGTACAAACGCTGAAATATACCAGTGTGTAAAGAAATGCTCAAAACAAACGTAACAGCGGCCCCCGAGATGTCTATCACCATCCGTGTGCGGGTGAAAAATTTAACATTTGTCGACGAAACTCCCCCAGCAGAAACCTTTGACTACCCAATAAGCATCAGAGAAAGCTAAAGATGGTAACTTTACCCGAGGATTGGGCAACATCATATATGTTTAACATTTACCTACGTCAGCTGACTTTCCCCGTCGTATTTTGTTCGAGAAAGCTCTCGTTCTCGACGCCCTCACCAAGGCTGATATCTGATCCACCTATAATGAGGATCCAAATCGAAAGTCCCAGTTTTGCTGGATATTCCAACAGGCTAGTTTTAAGCCGTACCCTTTCAGTGGTTCACGCATAATGCCATGCTCAAACGGATCAAGCTTCTGCTCAGACAGCATCATCAGTTTTCTTCAGTGTAAACGGTTATAAGAATAACCAGCTGCTTTGTAGACAGCTGGTTGCGGAAATTTACGCCGTCTGCAACTACCTCTACGGCAGCCGAGCTGCTGCAAGTCATCGCAACTATAACCTACAGGTTGCAGCGACCAACGTTCGTAGATAAACGTTGGTAGCGACTGCATTCGCGCATTCCCACGCATCACTCCGAACAGAAAGGCGCTAGTTTCGGTTTGAAGTCGGTGCCTTTTCTACAACATAGATGGCGGCAGCATCAGTCTTCTGCACTCGGTGCATTTGGCGAGTTCGTTTGAGTCCAGTTTTCCGTGCAACACTCTGTGAGTGCGATGCATTCTGGGAGAGAACTCGAACGGTGCCAGTGCTATGGTGTACCAGTGCGTGTGAAACGAACTCGCTATGAGTCTTGTTGGGACATCTGCAGGTCAAGCCAAGCCAAGCGGTCGATGCGCGAGCCGCCGAGCTCGCGAGTCGCGAATCAGCCATGCAGCCGCCGTTGACGAAAGTATGCGACGACACTACTGACAATGTCAGCTTCGTGTGTCGTGTGTGGTAGTACCAATCATCTTTACCGCAAAGTCACCGTGGATCTGTTTCGATTTCCGTCGAAAGTCTTGAGCCCCGAGAAGAGAGCCGCTTGGGTAGCTGCTGTAAGGAGAGTGCACCCGGGCGGCTCGCTGTGGGAGCCGAGCGAGGATTGCCAGATCTGCAGCGCGCACTTCATCACAGGTGCGACTTCGTAAGCTTCTGGCGAGTTTTGCTCGATTATAACGTGGCGCTGAATTCTAGGACAGCCATCGTGCTTCAGGGACCACCCCGACTTCGTGCCCTCCGTGTTCAACTACTCAAGAGCTCTCGGCGAGTCCGCAGTGCAGTCGCAAGACCCCTGCAAAGAGAGGCGCGAAGGTAAACACGGGATTTATGTTGCCACATTACACACAAACATCGGCAGTGCAGACAAAGGCACATGAGCACGAGCGCGTTGCTTTGAAAAGTGCCTCCTATGCACAGGGCCGGATTTAGAGGGGGGGGTCCGGATGTCCTGACCACCCTCTTGATTTCTGCATGTGTAAAATTTAGGGCGTGAAACGAGGGGGAGGGGGTACCTAGACATATGGTACGCTGACCAACACCAACACGCTCCCGACCATGCCCGCGCTCGGAGAGCCGGGTCAGGTGACGGAGGCGGCTGATTGGTCCGGCGGGCACATAGCACCCACTGTGGTCTCAGCTTAAGGGTGAACACAGTACACATGCATACACAGATACAAGTTTGTGAAGCTGTCCACAAAGCAGCACTTCCATGGCACACACCCGTGCCTGTCCTCTTCCCACTCTGGGCAGTTTGCGATGCCTCTCCACTTGCGGATCACTATCGCCATTGCCCTGCTCTGCCCAATTGCCCTCGACAGGAAGACATCGAAGTGATGATCAAAAGAGTGCGTCATCTCCTCCGCTTGGCCGTCTGCGGAAGTCTTGGTCTCTCGCAGAAAAGCAACATCAACCCACCGTTGCGGAAGTCTCTAGCACCCATTGCTTTATTCTTCTGGCCACGAGACTGACATAATTGAGGGTTGCAAACTTGGGCGGTCGCATTTCGTGAAAAAGGGGATGCTCAGCTTTCTGCCGGTCTCTCGACGGGCAGGGAGCTGAGAGACAAACGAAAAAGAACCGACCTGCGGAGGGCCTGTCCGGCCTCACCCTTTCGTAGGGATGGGTGACTTTGGGTTGAAGTTCTCCTTCCGTGCGCTATTCTTGTGCCACTTGAACTCGAAGCGTGCCAATGCATCCTTTGGCCGGCCGAAGTTGGATGTCGGAATCGGCACGGGCCGGGGGAGGAGACGAGTTTTTTCGGTTTCCTCCGCTAGAAATTTGATCTTTGATGGTAGAGTGGTGTGAGTTTGTGAGGTGAAGGCGGTTGGACTCGTCAGGCTCTACAAAAAGGGGAAAAAAGACTGTAGCAGAATGCGTTAAATCCTGGGCGCTGACATTGGCGGTCTTGAAGGCAAGAATGAGAAAGAGCAACAGAAGAGTGGTGAAGGAGAACGGACGAAAGGTTAAACATATTCGTTTTGCCACGACGACTTGAAGTTGCTCGAGCTTTATCAACCTTACTTAGCTTTATACAAAGCATGATTCCGGTGTTTTCCTGCAAAGTAAGCTAGGTAAGGACAAGGCACAGACCGCTAAAAGTGATGTTTCGATGCTTCTTTGTGCATATTAAGACGTCGCCAGTGATAGTGGCCCGTCCGGATTGTCAATGTCTGTGTCTGCCCCGCCGTTCCCAGGCTGCCCTAATCCGTGTGACCTTTTCCTCTAGATTATTATGTTAACTCCATTCCTACGAAGGCTTGGGAGGCAAATGAACACACCCATCTACCACAAACCATTTATTTTTCGGTAGATCCTAATGTTCGTGAATTTCTCGACTTAAATATTACTGCGAATATATTACTCTATGGTAGAGAATACACACCTAACCACCCTTAGTTGCAAAGTTTTCTGGCCGTGAAATATTCTCAATATTTCCAAAATATAGAGCCCGCAAAAACTGAGTCGTTTAGGCTATGCGGAGCTCATTTCGTCATGGGTCAATCACCATGATTGCACCTCAGGAAAGCACGCTAGAAAGTTGCACACTTGCTACATTGTCACTTTATTAGACAGGAAAACCATCGCTGTACAGACATCACCCAGCCTTTGTGTCGACTGTGTTGGCTGACAGGAAACAGCTACAATCTCGATTGCTAAGAGGGATGGAAAGATCCCGCGTCCACCAAAGGTAGCAAGTGACAGGCAAAGAAAGCCGCTCATGAGGCCCCCATGCTTCTCGAGAACCCGGCCAATACCGTGTACGGTGCCTTGATCATCAGAAGACAGATACAGACGAGGCATATTCCAGAGCCATCTGAGGTGTTCTGCTTAGCGCTGCGGACATAACCCTCTTCCTTAAAAGCCCATTCTCGGTGTGTCTGTCGCAGCGAATCCGTCTTCTATTGCAGGTATCGCCGCATTTTGTCTCGCGACAGTTCCGCAAACCGCATCGGCTTCTCAACCCAGCCGTCGGGCTGAAACGAGAATGGGATGTCCTCGGCCATCCTCAGTTGTCACCGAAAAGCAGCGGAGCCAGAAAAACTAAACAGAATGCCGACATGCTGGAAAACACACCTGTAACAAACCTAGTAACGTGCACAGATCAAGCCTACAGGCACCCTTATTTTCCGCCCAAGAAACCTTCGAACCCAGTCTCAATCAGCTTAAAAATGTCTGCCACTAGGTAGTGCCGCATCTGGGGAAAAGGGTGGATTTGATTTTTATTGCAGTAAAATGCAGTGCGCATCCCTTACATCATTGTAAAGTGGGTAGGTTTACTAGTTTGTAATTGAAACCAAGCCTTTAAAATTAATAATAAAGTTTTAAAGACTCAACAATGATTAAATACCTTAAATATACTGAACACTAATCATTTCCCTTAATGGGTTCTTTGGCACAAAGCACTGGCACAAACCTTTTTTTTTTTTGTGCAATCTGCAATTCGGTTTGTGTTTGCAAAAATACCCTGTGTACACAGTATAGGCCCTTTTCATGGCAAAAGCCACCAGGTGGTGCTCCAGTCTTTGATGTCCCTGAGAATTATTGGTTCATATAAAGAATGAACAAAGCCCACCGTAGCACCACTTCTTGAAATGTCGATGAAATGTTTAACTACCAATTCGCCAGGTGTTTGCCAAAAGAATGCAGCGCGAGATCTGTTTAGATTTTCTAATATTCTTGTAAACCAACTTGTCTCCTGCAAGACATTAAATTATACAGCCGAGGGTCCTCGTTAAATCTCCAACTTAGTTGTCTGTGTTGCATTTATGCTTTCTAGCACTGGTGACATAAGCTAGCTCGACAGGCTTCCAAAGACGGAGCAACCGGAAATCGCTTGGGACGCCAAGCGACTGTTTATATTTGTAAACAGCAAAAGGGTCTATACGTCTGCAATATGGCACCAAGTTAGGCCCATCGAGTGTACTTCTGACCAAGCATTAAAACTACTATTGGAAAGTTTGAATATTCGCACAACACTGTTTCGTGAGATGCCCATAATAAGACTCCCCGGGCCCTCTAAACTTGGATGCCTCGTAGCCGGTATGAAACAAGGAAGAAGTTACAAGCAAGTTCAGAATAACAGAACAAGCCTCTCCCTCCAAGCTCTGCCCCACAGATTGGTGATCTTGTCTTGCAGTTGGTTGCTTCACCCAACTTCACCGACTTCACCCTGAAGTGACGGAACAGTGGAAGGCGAGACTGATTCAGTAAAGGCATGAAAGTGTAGGGCCAGTAGACTTTTAGAATGTGGAGGTAACCAGGTAGAAGCTATCTGATTTGTGGGATAAGTTTAACAAAGGATCAACATTTATTTTCATTTACGTGTTAAATTGTTTGGCACGACGTGTGTGCGAAACCCAACTGCTAAACGACGCGCCCATCAAACGTTATGAGGTAATGCTGCGTAGGTAGTGCAAACCACCACGTGATAATAACTTATTTGTGTATTAGAGACTCAAGAACCTCTAGCGTGAATGCATAGCCAGATTTATTCATTCTCACCGACTAGGTGGCGTGTGTCGCCTTTCGATTCAGAGGCATCAGCTTCAGCCATGTTCATTGATCCATCACTTGCTTAGGATTACAAATCATGTGAATATGGTGGCATATGAGGAGGTGTGCCGTGCAGAAAATTTAATGCATGCCATTTGTTCATGATGTCGCGCGATGGCACCAGACGCAGGTTCCCAGTGACTTTTTGCAGGTGAGATGAAGAAGCGCTGGTTCTGCTGTCATTTTTACCCATTAGCAACAAATATTTGACCTAACTCCAAGTTTATTTTTTGGCTAAACCAGAGGGTGTTCTGGGTTTAGTTTTTGCCCAAAAAGTAAGTTTTCTGGAGATACCAATCATTGTCAACAATTTTTTTTCTATGTAAGGTTTTTTGTTAAGTAGATTTCAGCATTTCTGCGAATATATTGAAACAGATCTTTCACACAACATGATGTAATAAGCATAATTCTGGAAATAAGTGTGTATGCTTAATTCAGTCATTGGCAGCGACTTGGTTGAGCAATTGGCAGGAACGCAAATCTATGAAGTCGCATAATGCATGGAATGCAGTATTTAAAAGAGTGATCGTTTAAATTTGTTTAGTCAACATTAAACAGTCATTTCAGAAAGTGAAGAACATATTGTTTATTCATTTTCCAGCACTTGACACGGTGATGTCATGGGGTCACATGATATGAACTCTCCCAAATCTACCAAAAAATTGACATCACGGTGCCAAGTTGTAGTGTCACATGACACTGACATTGTATTACCTGAGGTGACATGACATTGCATGACATCATATTATGTCCCATAAATTTTGATGCTAAATTTAGGAGGAAAATTGACATCTGTTTCAAGTGATGGTGTCACATCACCAATCATTGGGTGACACGAGCATGATGCCATGATGTGACATGGTCAAGTGACATCAGTTTTTTCACTAAATGTAGGTGATACCGTGCCATTAATGTGGTCATGTGACGTCAATTTTCCAGCTCAGTTTTGTGGGTAAATTATGTTGTCACATGACACTGATGCCACTGTTATGTCATTGAGACGTCATACAGTCAGAGCAACATGAGGGTGCCCCAAATAGAGTTCCCATATAAAGCTATCACTAACAGCATTTATGAAAGAAAAAAGTTTTGAAAGGTGGTTTATCTGGTTCACACTAACAAAACAGTTAATAGAGTCAACTTTATTTCAGTGCTTATTTGAATTGAAATAAAAAGGAAAAGAAGAAATTGAACCACTCATCTGAAGCAGAACTACAATAATGGCTGCTTATTTTTAAAACATGCGGCTATCTTTGTTGTGCTTTCCTAGTGTGTCCTAATACACATGAGGTTTTGCAGGAGAGGGAGCTGCACTTTTGGGAGAGACCAGCTGTCCACTGAAAGTCACCGAAAACATCTCGTTTAGATGCTGTTCCTGCACCTATGTCACCAGTTATCAGCATTGGATGTTGCGCCACCTGGTTGCCCATGGCGATGAACAATGCGAGTACCAGCATCCTCCCACGTCACCTGCCTCTAGATCCCAAGTGCCCAGCAACACTCAAGAGCACAACAGTGAAAAGGTTTTTAAGTGCAAGCTGTGTCCTCGAGTCTTTGCTAAGAATCGCCAACTGACCGTCCATAATCGAACACACAGTGGTAAAAGGCCTTTTAAGTGCAAGCTGTGCCCCCAAGCCTTTTTTGAGAATTACCGTCTGATCCGCCATAATCGAATTCACACTGATAAAAAGCCATTTAAGTGCAAGCTGTGCTCTCAAGTCTTTGCTAAGAAATGCCAACTGACCGTCCATAATCGAACACACAGTGGTAAAAAGCCTTTTAAGTGCAAGCTGTGTCCCCAGACTTTTTCCGAAAATTACCATTTGATCCGCCATAATCAAATACACGCTGGTGAGATGTCATTTCAGTGCAAGCTGTGTTCTCAAGTCTTTGCTAAAAATTGCCAACTGACCGTCCATAATCGAACACACAGTGGTAAAAAGCCTTTTAAGTGCAAGCTGCGTAGGTAGCAGCTTGCGCTTAAATGGCCTGTCACCACACAGTGGTGACAGGCCATTTAAGTGCAAGCAGTGCCCCCAAGCCTTTTCTCAGAATTACATTCTGATCTGCCATAATCGAACCCGCACGGGTGAAAAACCATACAAGTGTAAGTTTTGTCCTCAGGCGTTTGCTCAGAATTCCAGTCTGACCCACCATAATTGAACACACACTTGTAAAAAGCCATTTATTTCTACCTGTGCCCCAAAGCCTTTTCTCAGCATTGCGATCTGATCTGCCATAATTGAATGCACAGTGATGAAAAGCCATTTGAAGGGGTACGGAAACCAAATTCTGGAGCTCATCTCTGCTTAAACTTAAAGAGGGTTAAAGTAGGACTTTACAAAACCAATATTTCGTAGGATAACACAAGAAAACATATTTTAAACTGAATTTAACTACAACCAAAAAACCACCTCATGGATGTCTGAAGCTTCGATGGAATGTCGTGACAACAATAATTTAGTAAGAGCAGCGCCACAACGGGAAGTAGGCTCACTCACAAAGATTACTTAGGCCTGAACTCGTGCCTTGCCAAAGGCCGCACCAAAGGCTTCAGATGCTTTGGTGACCAACAACAGAGTTGGCCACCATTAGTTTCATTATCAGGTGATCTCTCCGGCAATGCTTGTTTGGGGTTGTTTGAGAATTTTGTACATGCAATGATGAAATGTGTATTTAAACGGGCCCAAATGCCTGCCTCTTTTCATGACTGGATAGCCGCCTCGGTCGACTGCGATGAACTCGATCGCTACAAAGTCAACACACCTACTCGCGTTGCTAAAAGGAGACGGCCCGCACGGCCTCTGCAAAGCAGTGCACTTGTAAACAAATCGCTGCGGCGTTTTCGTGGCTCCGAAAATGCAGCATAGAGCCAGTCAGAGCGCTGGGAGCGGAACCGCTCCCAGCGCTCCGACTAAGAGCTTAACTCCAGTCGGTTCTGCTCCCAGCGCTTCGGACTGGGAGCGGAACCGCACTGGCACTGTGTTCTTGGTCACCGCCTCTCAAACAATCTTTTACAACCGATTTTATGAACCACTGGGCTTATAGAAAATCGCAACTTGGTGCTGACTTAGTTCGACGTGAGCGCGTTGGTGAAGTTGAATAAAACTGAAAGAATAAACAGAGACGGACAGAACAGCACATCTTTTGACTTTCAACACAAATAGCTTATTAGGCGCCGGCACTTGGCCCAAGAGACCCAAAGACAGAAAGGAGGAGGGCAAGAAAAAGGGAAGGTGAGGAGCGGTAGGGAGAAAATAAGGGCGACACAGACAGGAAAATTACTAGCTGGGAAGAAGGAAGGCCGGAAGGAAAGCCAAAACGAAGCACAACTGCCTGGAACACGTAGTTTTCGCAATATCGAATTTGTCCACTTTTCGTGAAATACCCTGTATGAGTGCATGCAGTGCTCTAAAGTCTTTTTCTCTCTAATAATCAAGCTTGCCATGCTCTTTTGCTTATGCAAGATAACCTTACAAGTGACAGCCATTTTCTAATACATTTCTCAACATGTCTCACTTGTGGGGCATGTGCCAAAGCAGAGGATGATGATCCCAAGGGAGATTACATTAATCTGGTGGCAGGGACTTGAACTGCCAATGACGTCCAAGAACCATCAGTCGAATATCCAGTTTGGTTACCTCATTGATTGTGCAACCATAGCTAAACTTTTGCATTGTCCATGAGCCTCTCATCCGAATGCCACTGTTTGTATTCACACAAAGGTGTTGAGGAGTAGGGAGAAATTTCTTGCCAGCAGTGTAATGGAAAACCTTTAATTTTTTTAATAGATGGAAATAGATCAGTGTAGCTAAAGCTGTCACATGTTCCTCATCTGAATGCACACTAGGCCATGCTTTTGCTCATGTTCAGAGATCCTTTGCACTTGCTCAAGGTGTGCTCATTTGAGGTGTGGTCTAAAATGTTTGTAAAACCGTCTTCAGTGTTTTGTTTCTAGTCAGTCTATATTAAAGATATGCACTTGCAGAAAATAAATGTGTGACCAAGTTTTGGTTTGACTATTTAGAAAAAAGTCTGGCAGTTTAAATTCCCAGATTGTCTTTTTTTCTGTTTTTGCAGCCTTGGTACTCTAGCAAGTAGGAAGTAATTTTGGGGATTTTAATTTTGATGTCCTGTAGCATGCCTTTCCATTTTGCAATTAACTCGGCTGGGAGCCAATTTTGAATGCGTCTGTGCACTACAGCTGTTTGTGCTCCCCATTTGAACCTTGCTATACTCTGGGACAACCTTTCTTGGCAATGCAGTCAAAAGCACTGGCACACTTGCCCACTTCCATGTTAAGCACTGATCAAAGCTTTCCACGAGCTTTCCTCTGAAATGTGAAGAAACGTTGTCCCCAAGTACAGTCGAATTCCCACACTACCCAACAGGTTTTACTATAGAGTGACTGTCTACCGATTTTTAATACTGTGTAATGCGTGTTCCACGCTGTGTTAACAAAAGGTAATCTTTACCGAACTGACAAACCGGCTCATTGTGAAACTGTTCTTGCCTTCCTTCTCTACACTGGCATCATCTTCGTAATCATGTTTTTATACGACACATGCTTTTTTGATATCGGTCTCTCTTGCGTTTAGGTGATCACAATATTCCGTTACTCTGTACTTTTGTTCCCGACGGTTGTTTCCTTGTTGCTTTGGTCTGCACATCAGAATTCTGACCGTAGGTGTCATGTACGCCAGATGATGTCTTCGGCACAGGATCCTGTAAAGTGTGCTTAGTTTTGCATTGTGTAATGCACTTGTATATATGCGTTGTGGATTTTTTTACTCTTGTTTGTGTTGAATAAACTTTGCAGATGATAAATGTGTAATCAGACATCTTTATCTGTGTTTCTCACAAATAAATCTTGACAGTTTGAGCTTCCACAGTGCTTTATTGTTGTCTTTCAGCCATTCCAGGTCTTAGCTGAAGTTAATATGTCATTGGCATAGGCACTCTCTGGAAAGTTCTTATTTTGCCATCCTGTGCCATGCTAGGACCTCACTGTGGCAGTTTCGTCTCCAAGAAATGGACTGCCAAGTGGATGTGCATGCCGCAGCAGATAGGTTCGGACTGGATTGAATTGTGGTGGCCATTCCCTTTCTATTGGGTGGATAGGGCCCATGCTCTGCTCCACCCAAAAGTAACTTGTAACTACAAAATGGACCTTTTCCGAGAAACGTTCTGCACACGCACGAGCGCCCGATAGCAAGCGGCGGAAGTTGGAACGCAAAATCGAGGAAATTCGGAAGGAGGCTGTATATCAGCGAGTCGAACACGTAATTGCAGCATATATATAATTGTGTTACACAAAAAAAGAATGTCGACGGAAAGGAAAACACAACGTTTGGGTGGACGCCACGGATGCCCCAGGCGCCGCTGCTCAGGGACCGAAGAAACTGGTAGCGTAGCTCCCATTATCGATTGGTAGCGCAGGTAGGTCACTTCCTCGATTTTTAGTTCGTGCAGCCACCGCCTGGTGCCGTCGGTATGTGGAAAAGGTCCATTCCCCCCTCCCCGAAAAAAATATTACGGCAGTTTTTTTTTTAATTACAAAGTTAACTATGCATTGCCAAACACTCATTCTCCAGCAAATATAACCTAGCGGTCCAAACCTGATGTTAAACTTTCAGAACTAACTGTTATAGTAAAGTCATAAGGAAATTTCTGATTTTAGGAAAATGGCGGTCGATAGAGTTCTCTACTGAATGGCACCAGTTACCGAATACTAGCAAAAACAGGCCCAATTTTCCCACTGAAATTTCTAGGAAATCATAACTTTTGAATGAGATAACGGTTAGTTCTGAGACTGCTAGCGTTACACTTGGGTGTGGAAGGAGCGTTCAGCAAACCATAGTTTATTTTTGCTGTGAAAAAACGCTACTACATTTTTGTGGGTGACACGTTATAGGTACATCAAATACTTGCTCTAACACCGCCAGTCCTCCAGCCTTCTTTTGGTGGAATCTCTAATGCTCGGTTCTTGCGCTGAATCTGCCGAATCTATGTTGGCTTCCATCCCCGTCCAAATGGCAAGAACCTCCAGGAACAAGCCCGCAGTCCATCACCATGTGTCTCCGTCTCACAGATGGCACAAGCGGTCTCTAGGTCTTCTATGAAACGGCTTCTCCACTCTCTTGTTTGAAGAGTCCCTGCCCGTACATCAAATAAAAGACTACTTCTCCTGGTGTTGTTGTAAAAACTCTTTCCGAAGGATGCCCTTCTGTGCCCCGTACATTTGCGGCGAAGATTTGTAGGCCATCCTATTCCTCCAACATCGTGTCTCGTCCTTGCACGAGCGTCCTTGCCTTCTTTTCATCGGCTTTAGCGTTGTCCTCCGGCTCCTTGCTGCCCATCAAAGTTTGTGTTGGGATGTGACAGATATGCGAGCGTCCTTGTTCCTTTCCTCCATTGGTGTTCCGATCCTTGTAGACCATATTGGCCCAGATCTTGTGGGACCACTTTGTCTGATACATCTGGCTTGGGGGTCTCTCATATCTTGTCTTCGCCTCGGTCTCCTTGGCTCCGATGTGCAACCAGCCAAGGTATCCTTGGGCTGCTCCATCGGGGCTGTTGGACGGAGCTCTGGGGGCCATTCCTCTCGCCTCTCGCTATCTTTGGAAAATTGTGTGTGACCCATTGCAAGTCACCCTGCTTTAGAAGATGCCTGGAACAACTGCCGCCTCACACAGGCTTCTCAGCACTTCAAAATGGTTGAAGGCCCAAATAGACTTGCTTGCAAGGATTCATTTTCCCTTGATTGCTCTTTTGCAGAGCTGTTCTTCGTGTTGTGCTAGATAATTTGGCCCGCCGACACTTGAAGGCTTGCGCTGATGAGGCTTCAAAACCAAAACTTGTGTATCATGACTGTGGCCGCTACTACCCTACCTTGTTGTCACACCACTTTTCGATTCAATTTGTTTATTTACTCCCATCATACATATGGGTGACAGAGACAGAAAAAACCTGCAGAAGTGTAGCTTACAGTAGAAGTCACTGCAAAATTGCCAGTAAACACAGAAAAATTACACAGATACAATTTTCTTGTAGAATATCACCTCTCAGTAGTAACTGTGTCAATATGAATTATACGCTGCATATTTAAAAGAAAAAAGGTATTTTTTTGCCAGCCAGAATTAAACTTTTAAGTCCAGCA